CACCAAACCGACGGTCCGGCGTGGGACCATAGGGGCAGGGCCGATACCCATCAAGACGCCCGTGATTCCGGTCAAGACGCCAACCGTCCCAGACATGCCGGGGGGGCTGCCGAGTGTGCCAAGCGGGGCTGAAGAAAGCCCTGAGCAAAGCCCAGAGGCCGGAGGCGGCAATTCGGTTGGAGTCGGTGCAGCCTTGCCGTGGAGCGGTCAGGCACCCGCCAACCCTCCCGCTGTGAGCCAGAAGCCGAGTGCCGGAGAGGAGCAGAGACAGGCAGCCGGGGAAAGGGAAGGAGAGCCCGGAGAAAGGGAGAGCCCCAACATGACTGCTCCCCCATGCCAGCCGGTGCCTCAGTTGGGGGACCAGAATCCCGGAGAGGCCCCACAAGGCGAAGACATGCTGAACGCCATTCGCCGGGGCGTGAAGCTGAAGAAGACCACCACAAATGACCGCTCAGCGCCCCGCATTTCCTAGACGCTGAACCACTGCCAGTTGACCCGCTTAACAGAGACTACCTGATGAAACCGTCTGTCTGTCCATTCCACTGTACAATCAGAATTTGCAGGATGCTCATTAGCAAAGCAGCTGGAAACGTTCTTTAAAATGGAGGGCAGCGGGGGTGGGAGGAGGGAGGGAACCTGCAAACTAAAACGCTTAAGGCACAGCCTCTTTCTGATATTTTTATTTTTTTTTTGTAAATACTGCTGATTATTATTTTTTCCCTGCACATTTTTAACCTGAGTTTCCCTTTTGATTTTTCCCCCCCTGAAGGTGCCAAATCCTGTGTAACTTTTTTATAAACACTTTGTACAAAACAAAAGGAAAAAAAAGTTTTACATGCGTACGAAGAAGATCAAGTAGCTTAAACTTCGGCAAGGAGAGAGGAGTAGTAATGCATTCTCGCTCTCCCCGGGAATTTTTATTTTTTACTTTTTTTTGCAAAGCACCTTGTCATGAGAAGGATGCGAAAACCAGCTTTTGTTTTTTAACGTACGAAGGACGTGGCAAGAAAAAGGTCCTCGCTGAAGTACAGTGACTTTTTTTTATGTTTGAAAGGCAGGAAACAGCAGCTGATTGATTAAAGCAATATATAGTGGAAGAGAGAGAGGGGGAGAGCCTGTAATTGGTTAGTATTTAGGGGATAGGAAAAGGGGAGGGACTTTACTGTTGCACAAAAGTAGCTTAGCGGTAGCTTCAAGATACATGCGTCCGAATAAGCCATATTGGATTGCAGTGTTTGTTTATGTAGGAAGTATATGGGCGCTTTACACTAGGAACACCTCCTGTGTTCAGCCTCTCCCATTAAAATTTGTCAAGGCTCCGTAAGATCTCCTGCCTAAGAAGAGCCTGTGCGGACTGTTCCTTTTAATAATCATAATTTGTATTATTCCACCCCACCCTTGTCTTCAGGACTGCACAAGCAACAACTTTTGTCAAGTCATGCCATCTTAAGCCAGGTTAGACTTAAGAACTTTTTTTGTTTTCTCCCTTCACGTTGTCTCGTTTTTTTCTTTTTTCTTTTGTTAAGGGACGGTAACGAAGAAGTGGAGAGAAAGAAATGCGTAGACTTGAAAAGGGTTGTGGTGGGGAGATTTACCAGGGAGTTCTTCGTTAAAAACTTCTCATCAAACTGGCTGTGCTCAGCAGGCTGGGCAGCTTAACAAACAAACAGCAAACACCCCACTAGTTTTGAGGAAACAACTTGATCTGATGGGGAACCAGCTGAGAATTCTGATGAAATGAGAAACGTTTATCGTAAGGGGCCTGTTTTTCCTTCTCTTAAGTGACATTTTGGGTTGGCTTTTTTCATAAATGCTAAAAGCTTTGGGGGAATGCGGGAGGGAACGGGCACACAGCTTTGCTTTTTTTATTTATTACAGGGGTTACGGGGGGGTGACCTTTTTTTTTTAAGAGACTTCTTAGCAACGAATTTTAGGAAAGCTGTTAATAAATTTATAGATGGGGGTTTTTTTCCTTCTCTTTTCTTAACATGAAAATTGCTGTGATTATAATCCATTTCATGGGGTCGGTAGAAAACGTGCATCACTCGTGCACCACGGGTGTGCTGCAGTTTTGTGGGTTGTGTCTTTTTCTTTTAAAGCATTCTGCAGTCTAAACGAATACCGTCTGCCTTATCTCTATATGGGCAACGCAAGCGGAATTAACGGATCAACAGACCTGCGTGTTGGTGGTTGCAGAGAAGTAGCCCCTACAGCGGGAGGAGCCCATTTGGGCGTATGCTCACACATCTACTCCTCCACGGACATTCTTGAGACTCCTATTGGCTGCCATCTTGCCTACATAACCTCTTATGCTTTAAATACATAACTGCATTGGATGTGAGACGTATTGTAAAACTGTTATAGTCACTGTGTTCTATATACATTTACACTGCTGTGGTTGCTTAACACTTTTTTAAGTTATGGCTTCAGAAGCAAACAAAAAACACACACAAGACAAAAAAAAGCATGATCTTTAATTGATAAACCTCTCCTTTGATGAAAAACAAGCTCCTTATTACTTCGAAACATACATTAAAACAAGTAGTGCCTCTGGTATAATTAAGCCCACCCAATCTTGATGAAACAGCGGATGCGTTCTGCAAATGATGCTTCAAGATCTTTTCCCCATCACTAAACCAAGGTGGGGCGGGGAAAACAGTAATTGGACTAAAATGGATGCAGGGGGTCACGATCATCTCCTGGCAAGCTTCATGTTGAAATCAGCTGGCATTTCACAAGGGCTCAGCAGTTACTCTTGTATAATTCCCGTTAGTTTTTGTGGGGCTTGGGCAGGAGAAATTCCTGATGGATTGGATCCAAAAGGTATACAAAACATTTTTCTTTTTTAAAATCCAGCTGTACTCAAGAAGTGCAGCTCCTCTTTAGTTCTTTAAACACTAGGATTTACTCTTGGTTTAAAATTTTATTATCAAAACTGTTGCCAAAATTCAATGTTTAGGGTGTAACAAACCACTTTGAATCATTCTGTTGGGTTTAATTTTTTTTTTGGTGTGTGTTCCTTGCCTATTGTAAAAGCAGTGTCACCGTTTTTTAAAGGAAAAGATGTTTCTAATGGTAAGTTATTGTGGTTTAGTTGCTAGTTTGTACTGAGAGTTGACCTCTCCCCTCATGCTTTTTTGTTCTGAATTGCTATAAATAAAAAATTGCTGTTAACTGTGTTACCCTTCTACATTGTAATGATTGCTTCAGCCTATATTATAAATAAAGACCTGCTAATAAACCTCCTCATATTTTAGTTGCCTAATCTTACTCCATGAACCCCATTTCAATAAAAGGTTTTGCCACTATGCCTTTTAAAACACCAGCGTATTATATAGCAAAGTATGAACTGGGCGTTAACCACAAAACTGACACACAGAAAAAAAGCAACATTTCATTGCAGGTAAGAGAAGTGTGTTTGAATATTCCATATACCTTCCAGTGTAGTGTATTCACCTGACATTGTAGCCTTCCATTTGCAGCCACAAGAATAAAATTCTCTGTCTTTTTCCCCTGCCTTCCCATCAAAGCATGCCCAAGGCAGCTAACAAAGCAGCGTGACCCACATTTTGTGGACTTCCCAGTACAAAGTGGATGGTATAACATAGCTGCATTTCACTGTACTTGGTTTTAAAGAGGGTCCAATTGCACAGCTTGATGATTGAAGAAAATATGAGCTGTAGCAGTACAAGAACTTAGGCTTGCACATCAAGACATCCTCTTTCACCCCTTGCCTACCTTCCCCACCTGAATGTAGGAAATCATTGTGCTAATAGGATGACTTTGTTCGATACAACCCTATTACAATAAGCTTCTCTTCATCAGCAAGGGCTTCATACATTGAATGCTTTCTCATAGGTTTAGTGTGAAATGGCTATTGAACTATATAAAAACAGAGTCTGAATTCTGGAGGTGACCTGGGCATGGTATGTAGAGGCTGTTTGCTCTGGAACAAGGATGGGGAAACTCCAGATGTTGTGGTCCTACAGCTTCCATTATCATTTGCCATAGCAGCTGAGGCTGATGGCTGCCGCAGCATCCTCTGTAAAGACAAAAGGTTCACCACCCCTCCTTTAGAGCAATAATAATCTTGAGTGGCAGTCCATGGCCCAGGTCTGTTGCGTTTCATATCCACACTGCTGCTCCCATAAGGCAATTCCTAACCTATACATAGAACCAGACTGCTTAATGGGCAGAGTGCCAACACACTCATCGTTCCCCACCAATATCTGGAGGATAAGGACTCCCAAGAATACATAACTGGGCAATACATAACTAGAGAGCCAGTGTGGTGTAGTGGTTAAGAGCGGTAGACTCGTAATCTGGGGAACCGGGTTCGCGTCTCCGCTCCTCCACATGCAGCTGCTGGGTGACCTTGGGCTAGTCACACTTCTCTGAAGTCTCTCAGCCCCACTCACCTCACAGAGTGTTTGTTGTGGGGGAGGAAGGGAAAGGAGAATGTTAGCCGCTTTGAGACTCCTGAAGGGGAGTGAAAGGCGGGATATCAAATCCAAACTCCTCTTCTTCTTCAATGGGGCGGCTGTCCCTACTTTGGGAGAAACTTTTGTGCGTTGGGTTGTCATGCCAACTATGCGATTCAAACTCGCCCAAGCGTTAATCTGCTCAACTTCTGGAAGCAGCATAAGAGGAAGACATTAGAAACAGTTCCAGATAGGGGGTTCCATAATTAAAGCGCTACTCTTCTCCCTGCATATACCGACACTAAAACAACATACAGTGGTACCTCGGGTTAAGTACTTAATTCGTTCTAGAGGTCTGTTCTTAACCTGAAACTGTTCTTAACCTGAAGCACCACTTTAGCTAATGGGGCCTCCCGCTGCTGCTACGCCACTGCTGCGCGATTTCTGTTCTCATCCGGAAGCAAAGTTCTTAACCCGAGGTACTATTTCTGGGTTAGCGGAGTCGGTAACCTGAGGTACCACTGTACTGAGGAAGATGAGGTGCCACCATAGTCCACACTTGAATGTTCACACGAACGCCACTGATTGACACTGAACTTTATTTTATTGGGTACATGTACCACAGTAATGCATGCAGACATTCTTTTTACTGGTAGGGCTTCATCTCCTCTTGGAGAAGTGTTTTTGTACATGGAAAGTTGATCTTTTTATGCTGGACGCTCCCGTGGCCTAGTGACATACTGCCACCACAGGGGAGGCAGGTGTCCCTCCTTCCGTGCTGGAGGCAGGGCTTCCGTCTTGGGCCCATCTGCTGGGGTTTCTTCTTGAAGCTGCTGAACCTAGAGAGTGAAACCAAGTCAGTAGCCACCAAGAGTACATCTCCAAGAATTTATTTATATAGAGTTGCCCACTTCAAGCTTGGTGCCCATACATTTCCACAGGAGACTTATAGCAATGCATGCTTGTGTCCTGCTGGACTGAACATGTATCAGAAAGTTTCCCATGCCAAGATAAGATGGAAGTACTAACTGGTATCCTGAGCGGGGAGAGAAGAAGCTATCCAGATTAGCCACTTAATTTGGGATGGGCAACATGCCACTGAAATGCAGTGCTGTGCATTTGCAAAGTGAGAATGAGCTTTCAAAGATGATAATGAGGTATCTAGGCCTCATGGTAATGACGACCTTTGAAGACAGGTTGTTGGGAAACAAGCAGAATGTTTAAATATATGCGACTGCCATTTTTTTTCTTTCTCACCACACAGAAATCTACACTGCAGTACATGTAGTAGAAGCAGCAAGACCAACCTCTTTCTCCCAGCTTTCCATCCTCAGCTTCTTCCACTGCTCTCTCTTGGCAAAGTAGTCCGGATACATTGCCTTCTCTGAAGGATGCCATAAATCTAGGAACCATTCGGGTGCCTGTCAGATTGGAAACCAGACCATGACTTAAAACACTGCAGTAACAATGTAGGCAAAGATTGCTTGTCTCTTAGAAGGCACAATGTTTCTCCTGTAACGCTTCAATGTGCTCCTTTGTTTAAGAGGCTAGTTTAATAAAGACCCGGTAGACTAGTTTAATAAAGACCTAGCAATTTTTAGGCTTGAATTGCTGCAATGTGCAGTTTAAACCAAATTGAGAAGAAAGAATTACAAGGTGTGCACCCCATTGTGGGGCTTCATTTCTATGAGTCAACTTGTGCCACACAACTACTCTTCAGTCAGAAGATCCTACAATAAAATACTGGACTATAGTCAGGAGAGCCAATAGAATAAATATCATCTATCCACCTTCCAAAAGACTCTCAGTGAGCCTAAACGAAGAGGGAAGAGGCCATAGCTTGCCGGAGCTCAGTGCGAGAGCTTTCTTTGTATGCAAAAGGTCCCTGTTCAGTCCCCACCATCTCCATGTTGGAGTGAGCAGCATGGCTGGTAAGACACAGGACAGGTCTACGTCTGACTACAAGACAGCTTCACATACCCAATGAAAAATATTATACATTTCCTCATGGGCTCCTATGGCAGCATACTGAGCAGCTACTAGAAAAGAAGAAATTTCGCCATCCAACTCATTTGGTAGAGGTATGGGCAGAACTACCTCACTTTCCAAATGAATGGTTGGTTGCCAGGGGCCATTTGGGCATGCACTACCTTTCTGATATGTAGGGTTCCAGTGACCCGCAATCACTCCCACCCGTTAAAATGATGGATCTTCTGGATACAGTGGTACCTCGGGTTAAGTACTTAATTCGTTCCGGAGGTCCGTTCTTAAACTGAAACTGTTCTTAACCTGAAGTACCGCTTTAGCTAATGGGGCCTCCCACTGCCGCCGCACGATTTCTGTTCTCATCCTGAAGCAAAGTTCTTAACCTGAAGCACAATTTCTGGGTTAGTGGAGTCTGTAACCTGAAGCGTATGTAACCTGAGGTACCACTGTAATATGGTTCTTCTGCTGCTTCTGAAGCTGATAATGTGAGCTATTTAAAGGATGCACATCTAACCCTCCAACTTGTACTCCTCTTCAGCATGGATGAGAGGAGGGCAACCAAAATGGTCAAAGGCCTGGAAACGATGCCTTATGAGGAACGGCTAAGGGAGCTGGGCATGTTTAGCCTGGAGAAGAGGAGGTTAAGGGGTGATATGATAGCCATGTTCAAATATATAAAAGGATGTCACATAGAGGAGGGAGAAAGGTTGTTTTCTGCTGCTCCAGAGAAGCGGACACGGAGCAATGGATCCAAACTACAAGAAAGAAGATTCCACCTAAACATTAGGAAGAACTTCCTGACAGTAAGAGCTGTTCGACAGTGGAATTTGCTGCCAAGGAGTGTGGTGGAGTCTCCTTCTTTGGAGGTCTTTAAGCAGAGGCTTGACAACCATATGTCAGGAGTGCTCTGATGGTGTTTCCTGCTTGGCAGGGGGTTGGACTCGATGGCCCTTGTGGTCTCTTCCAGCTCTATGATTCTATGATTCTATGAGAGTGACAGTAAGATCAATGCAGCAGGTATTTGTATAATGGCAGAAGCAGCGCTGCTCAGTGCATCCATCTTCTTGCTTTTAGGACGCACACAGGTCCCCCCCTTTTGATAATACTTTATTGGAAGACAACTTCTGTGTTCTAGCAAAAATTTGGTCTCTCTACCTCTCCATGACTCTTTGTTATGCCCAAGACCTGATACTTTTCTCACTTACATTTTCCCATGTCTGAAGTATACTCCTGGAACTCAACGATTTCATTTTCTTTGGGAAAAGAAAACACATCAGCCCTTTCTTTTTCCCTTCTGACTGCTCAAAGGGTTGTGCCAATACTCTCTGTTGAAACTATGATAACTATCCCAAGCATGTGCACAGTGCTGTTTGCAACGGATTACGGAGGTTAGTCCCAAGTTGCCTTGTAATGTACTGACCTTGTAGCACTCGTATCTCTCATAAGATGTGCCTCCTGGAGCATCAGGAAAGATGTAAGGCTCAGAGTGTTTATTTTCCCAAAATTCTTGTTCACCAGCCAGCAACAACTTGGATGCTTTCACCATATCTTTTTCATCCTTATGTTCATCAAACCGTGCTCTCAGCAGGCAGGCGAAGAATCGATACCTGTCCCTGAGAATGCAAGGAAAAAGGAAAAAGATAACCATCGTGAAATTACAGGTCCCTGGTATAGGCCAATGAAGATATAATGCTGCCTGATCTCCCAATCACAGTTACTAGAGAGGGCTCCTCTGCTCCTTTCCGCTTCTCAAACACAAATCCCTTTCCCCTTTTTAGAGCTAACCATGGTTATTATTTCTTTATGAACCATTTAAAAAAAAATCCAGGCTGCATTTTGGTAATTTTATGACGCTGTTTTAACAATAGCTTTCTCTGCTGATGTTGCTATCTTTTAATGTCAGTTTTATTATTTTATCACCATTTTAACAACTGTTCTCTGTAATGCATTTTATAATCTAAACTGAAAAGGTGTGTAACTATTGTAGCGACAGAAGTAGCCCTGTTTGTACCATTCTGCAGTCGCTGAGAGTTAACGCACTGTCAGATAGCTACACACAGATTGCTCCATGGATAAAATGTCATGGGGCACCGTGTTCATAGGACACCCTGTAAAATCCACAGCCACTTACCCAATTTTCCCAATGCACTAGATAAGAATTCTACTTAAGACTGTTATAATAGAACCATTTCTATGGAATGGCCACTAGAGGGATCTAGTGTGTAGAGAATGTTTCACAAAATTAGAATTTTAGGCATAAAGCCCTAAACATTATCTAAGATTCTAAGTAGCTGATTAACTATTTGGTTGTTATTTTGGCTCTTAAATAAAGCTGTGCAGGGCTGAGGGGATTTATAGCCATGGATCACATTTTAAGCACAACTGAGCGTGCTAGACACTCCTGAAGACCTAAATATTCCCTGTATAGAAGGGAATTTAGCCCCATATTATTCTGGTTGTCTGAGATACAGACAGCAGAATTGTATACAAGTGTGTTCACACCATAGATTTGAATGACAGCTTTGGCTTTCCTAACAATCCCTAGAATAGAACTGGGCCTTTTTTACAAAGGTGCTGCACGGTGGCTTGACATTTTCACTGAGCTACTCAACACTACCCCAATATCTAATTTCCTCGTTTGTCTACATGTGAAGATACGATTGATTTGTCCCCATGTATATCACTTGAAACTTACTTTCAACCTCATCTGTCATTTTGTTGCCCATTCACCCAGTCTGGAGCGATTCTTTTGCAGCTCTTTCCAGTCTGCTTTATTTTTCAACATCTTGAATAATACGGTATCATCTGCAACCTGGTCACCTCACTGCTCAGCCCTTTACTTTAAAAACATAGGTGCTCCTGAGGAATAGGGTGGTCAGGAAGCACAGCAAGGGGTAAACAATAATTAACACGGGAGCAAAGACCATCTGAAGCGACAACAAGACCCGTGAGCTCATCTTAATCCTTGTTAAAATGATTTCAGGGAAATGCTGAAACCTCACCTGATCCCCTCAGCCCACCCACCAGCAAACATCAACAAATAGCAGAAAAATCACAAAATGGGTGAGGAGAAAAGAAAGAGAAGGGGTGGGGGAATATTAGTACCAGAAATATTAAAAGGTAAAATTTTGCCATGTCAGAAACCTTGACATACAAGGGATGTTGACAAATGCATCATGTTTCTATGTGAAACACAATAGTAAAAAGTGTAATTAGAACGTTACAGCATTGGACTACAGCTAGTCAGCCCCAGGGTCAAAATCCTATTAGCTATGAAACTCACAGTGATCTTGGGCCAATCACCATCTCAGAGCCTAGCTTTCCTAACAGGATTCACAGAAGGGCAATACCTTGATTAGGAATGTCTAGAAATTGTTCAGTTTGGTTGTGTATTATTTCATGTTTTATTTATTGCTTAGAATCACTTTTGTATGTTGTAGTTATGCATTTTTTCATGTTATAAGACACCTCCGGCATGGTTTGAACTGTGGAAAGGCAGCATACAAATAAAAGTATGTACGTATTTATGTATGTATGTATGTATGTAGGTATAAATTAATACTATTAAGTCTTACCATGCTCTTTTTGGGAACAATGAAGCTCCCTTTTTACTTTTGGTCCTGCTATTACAGTACAGTGGTTCGCAGTACCACCCTGGTGTGGCTGCAAAATTCAAGGACAATCAATATTATTCACGTTCTTATGTAGCTGCATTATTTTATACTTTCTGGATGTCCTATTATAAATCAAGCATGGCTAGGAGTGGTTTCTTTTTGTTTCCCTTTTTAAAAAAATAAAATTTATTAAGGTTTATAGGGAAAAAATACAAAACTTGAAATATTTTTCCTTATTTACCAAACCAAGACTTTCATACAGATACAATAAAAAAACAGAAAGGTTGGACTAGATGACCCTTGGGTCCCTTCCAACTCGAAGATTCTATGAAAAATTTAAAAATCGGAGAGTAAAGAACTTCCAATTCTTCATCCGTCTGCTATATAAAACCAATATTCAGTTTTCCAAGGCATTACTCATGAATTAAAAATCTGGTGTGGTGCGGGAAAATTTTTATTCTGAAAGAATGGTCCTGAGAAAAAAGTTTGAGGACCACAGTCACTGGGTCTGCTTAGTTTTAGATCATTGTTCACTACATCTGTTTGTGGACCACTTCAGCAGCGTTGGAAGTCATAAAACAAAGCTTTACGGCTTGTTTTCACCAGATAAGAATCTGACCCATTGCTTCTTTCAGAGACTTGCATAGCCCACAAAAACTTTCAGAGACCTATAAGACTTATGTTTATTTGGTTCTATGTTTTCAAGAGAATCCATCTTTCGGTTCTATGTTTTCAAGAGAATCCATATTTTGTGACTTTTAGAGATTTAGAAGATTTCTGTTTATTTGGTTTTGCAGAGAGTGCATATTCCATATATTTCGTATTGTTCTATAAAGATTATATAGAGTTTATATCGACATCTCATTGTTGCACTTGGTCATCGTGTTGCCTTTGGATATTGCTAGCTTTTGATTAAGCAGACCTGACTTACTCTGCTCTTTTTTCCTTACCCCCCCTTTTTTTGGTTCAACGGGGCTCCCTTTTCCCCTTCTGGCCCTGCCTCGCAGGGTTGTTGTTGTTGTCCTGGTGAAATGGGAGGGCCGTGAGGAAGAGACACAGAAGCAACCACGAGAGAAGCTGCCCGGCCCCCCGAGAGGAAAGACAGGAAAGAGGCGGAATAAACGAAGGAGGTCGGAGCGAGGCCCTGTCACGGAGAAGGACAGAGGCCCTCCTTCTCCCTCGGACCCCCGCAGATAACGGGAGAGGGCGGCCAAAGAGAGGGGAGGGTCCCGGGGAGCAGCCCCCCCCCCGTCTCTCACCGGAAGATGCACCAGGACTCGAGGTGCCGCAGCGCCCGCTTGTAGAGACGCAGCACTTTCTGCTGGTGGGTCAGGTACGCCGCCATCTTGGCTGGGCCGCCAGCTTCTTCACCTTGCCCAGGAGGGCTCGCCGCAAGGGATCGTGGGAGGGTGACGTCAGAGGAAGCGGCCTATCCGGGCCGCCGCTGGGGAATATAGAGATAGGAAAGAAGAATGTAGAGATACGGAGTAAAGGGTAGAGTGGGGCGAAGACGCAGATAGAGATAAGGGATTTAGGGAAATGCACAGGTCAGGTTAATTGGCAAAAAGCAGATAAGAGATACGGAGGCGCAGGTTACAGCAACAGCAAGGCGACATTTTTCCACCTTCCCCGCATCAAGCAGTTGGTCCCTTACCTTTCCCGCCCCGACCATTTCTTCACTCAAACTTTAGGTTCTTCATTGGTCGTAGAAATGACTTGGTTTGACATTGTGGAGGCTTGCCGGAGGTTCCTGCAGAAGTAGACTGAAGTTGATGTTTGTGTGTGCTTTATTTGACAGTATTAAAAATGCCTAGCTTCGGATTATTTCGGTCAATCTGGACGTAGGACGTAAATGTATGTGACTAGTTGTCTTTTTCATCTTGCCAAGACCACTGCTTCCGGTTTCCTCAGAGGCAAATAGTCCCGCAAAAGCAAACAAGCAAAACCCACCCCAAGCCGCTCATTTGAAATTCATGAGTACTCCAAGTCCCAACTCCCATGTTTAAAGGGGGGGGGGGCTGTTTCTGTGGTTCACTAATAAATAGGCAAAATGCAGTGTTGTGTAGGAAAAGAAGCATTTGCCCAGTAGCTTTCATTCTTAAATAGACAGCCGCTCAACTTTGCTCTAAAACTAATTTGTTAGATGGTCAGACATGAAGGCTATGCAGACCTCTGCTTGCATTGTCCCATGAGGAATCTGAGGGAAGTATATTTTATTAAATACAGGCATTGTAGTTAATATTGTACATACCTTTCCCGCCCCGACCTGGCCACAGTGATCCATGCGACGGTCACCTCCAGGCTTGACTACTGTAATTCACTCTACGCAGGGCTGCCCTTGAAGCTGTCCCAGAAACTGCAGCGGGTGCAGAATGCCGCGGCGAGGCTCCTCACAGGGTCCTTGCCGCGGAATCACATTCATCCAGTGCTTTACCAACTGCACTGGCTCCCAGTGGAGTACAGGGTCAGATTTAAGGTGCTGCTTTTGACCTTTAAAGCCCTTCACGGCCTAGGACTCTTGTACCTACGGGACCGTCTCTCCCAGTATGCCCCACGGAGAGCCTCAAGGTCCATAAACAGCAACACCCTAGAGGTCCCGGGCCCTAAGGAAGTTAGATTAGCTTCAACCAGAGCCAGGGCCTTTTCAACACTGGCCTGGTGGAACGCTCTGCCTCATGAGACCAGGGCCCTGCAGGATCTGATTTCTTTCCGTAGGGCCTGTATGACAGAGTTGTTCCACCTGGCCTTTGGCTTGGAGTCAATCTGATTCCCTCCCCCTCTCCCCCCCCTTTCAACTCCTGTGATGAGGCTGCATTTTAATGTTGTATTTTAATCTTGTTTTTAAGTTGTATCCATTCAACTTGTTTTTATTATTGGTTGTTAGCCACCCTGAGCCTGGCCTTGGCTAGGGAGGGCGGGGTATAAATAAAATTTATTATGATGATGATGATGAAACTGGAGAAACGCACAGGCCAATTGGCCAAAGGCAGATAGAGATAAGGAATCAAGACAAAAGCAGACGCCAATGGGCAAAAAGCCAGTGCTTCCCTTCAGCCTGCCCTGGGGGCTTTTGAAGGTGGCTCCACGATGTGAATTAGAAAATGTCACCACCGTAATTTATATCGCCACGAGCAAGCTGGGTGGCCTTGGGGCCAGTCCCCTGCTATCCACCACCCAGGATAAAACAGGGGCAGCAGGGTGGTGAAGGGAAACCATGTGCATTGGTAGCACCAAATGCTGCGAATTAATCAAATACATTAAATCAATAAAGTTAAGGGGTTTTTTTGTTTTTTTGTTGTTGCTTTGTTACATTTCCATGCCGCATCTCCACGCGAATCCCCGAAGCGGCTTGCCAACATTAAATTAACGAGAACATGCTAGGAGATAATGAAACACCACAAATGCAGCATAAATCATATTTGAAAATTAACTATCGCTGCATTATATATAACGTTCAGTATAATTTAAATGCGATGGATAATAATACAGAAAATGCCAAAGGAATAGAGACAAGGGGCCATAGAGATACATTTCTAAGTGTGGCGGATAGAGCGGCACCCTCCTCTATGGTCCATTCAGCCTTCTTACGCGCCTACCCAGCATACGGCTAGCGCTCAAAGGGAAACCGGAAGTGTCGTAGGCGCGTCTGCATTCTATGGGAGGAGAGAGAGAAGGAGAGAGAGAGAGGCGCGCGGGCCTCAGTCGCCGTCGTCATGAGCCGCTTCAAGTTCATTGGTGAGGACGGTTGCCTGGGCAACTGGGGGGGTGTTCCTTTGCGTCCGCAAAGAGGGCGCCGGGCCTAGTCGCTCAGGGGCAGCCCTTCGAGGTGGGGGGGGGGGCGGCTGCGGAACCGGCCGAAGGGACCCCCCCCCCAGGCGCGCTTACTCCGCGGCAAGCCCCGTCGTTGTCAGTGGAGCTTGCTCCCGGGGTTGGGGATCGCAGCCTTGCTCCCCTGAGAGGAACCTGCGCGGGGTTGCAGGTGCGCGCAGGGCGATCCTGTGCTCGTTGGCTGGGGAGCAAGCCCCCCCAAGTCACAATTCCGGTTCTGCGCATGCTTACTCAGAAGCAGGGCCCGTCGATTTCATCCATTCATTTCTTATTTGTGTTATACGGGGCTTGCTTCTGGGTACCCCGGCGTGCAAAGCCGGAGCCGTAACTGGTAGCTCCTTCTCTGCTTTGCTTGTATCTCACAAATGCACACAAGAGACCTTTTGTTTTTGCGGCAAGCAGTCAGATTTATGCAGAGATCTAATCCGTTTGCGGTATTTGGCTACAAATGGACACAGGAGACAGTTCCAACCCTTTCCCTCACATCCTGCAGCGATTCCCCTGCAGCCATTGCCAGATGAGAATCTGCATTTAGTGGCTTCTCTTGGGGGTTAGTGCCTGCATGCATTTGACTCTCCCTGTCATTTGATGATTTGGCAGGTGCATTGTGTATATTGACTCCACTGAAAGAGCATTGCACATGAGGTGGCCTGAAAGTTCTGGCCTTGGTGTTTGCATGAATGAGCCACTGCAGATTATACAAGCTGTCACGTGACGCATGTACCAATGTATTATTATTAGCATTATTGTTTTTATTTTATTTCTATACCATTTTATATGTTTAAGAAAAACCTCAAAGGGGCTTACAACACATTAAAACATCAAATAAAACAATCCAGAATGAAACATAGCAGGTACATGCAAGACAGCCCTCGTTCCATAAGAAAGGTTTTGCAGGCTTTTTAAAGGGATCCTCTCCTAGTACAGACTCCGGCCTTTAACAGCAACCAGTATATATCTGAAGCATAGAGTCATAGTTTCATCACATGTCGGGGACCCATCAGATCTTCTGACATCTTGAAACTGCAGGTGAGGAGCTTTTCAGATGATGGACTCCAACTCCCATCATCCCCAGGCAGCATAGACAATGACCCAAGTTGAGGATACTAATTTATTTCTCTCTCTCTCTAGATATCGGTGTTAATTTAACTGATCCTATGTTCAAAGGCATATACAGAGGTACTCAAAAGCATCAAGGTAAATATTCTGTCTGTTTCTTTAATGGCTCCTTCTGTAGTCCTCATATCCCCAGATATTCACGGTATGCATCTGCAAGAGACATTTTCTTTCAGGTTACACATTTTGGGGTACCCCCATTCCCAGAGAGTGACATTATTATTATTATTATTATTATTAGTTATTAAAACTGGACTTTCATCCTGCTCTTGTCTCCCACCCATCATTTTGAGAGAAAAAACCCACTAGGGTGGTAATTCAATGCAGTTTTACTCAGAGTACACCCATTATAATTATTGAACATGACTGATTAATTGAAATGGATCTGATCTGAGTAATAATTGAGTATATATAATTGATCTGAGTTATTCCTTAACTGAAGGCTACAATCTTTTGCATATCTTACTTGGGAGGAAGTCCTATTCAGTTCAGTATGGCTTCTAAGTAGACATGTGTAAAATTGCGCTGTAAAGCCACAGTCCTTAACACTCTTAGCTGGGAGTAAGCCTCAGTTAACACAATGGGACTCTCTTCTAAGCATGCATGCATAGGATTGTGCTGTAAGGCTGCAATTCTGTTAATACTTTCTTGGGAGTACGCTGCATTGGACTCAGTATTTTTGAATAAGCATGCTTAGTGTTGTGCCTTTGAAGTGTGCTATCTGACAATCATACTGAGAGTAGACCCACTGAAAACTAAAGCTACTTGTGATGTAACTTCAGTGTGAGTTTTTCCTCAGTAAGACTTAGTCACATTGTGCTACCCTAAGACTTGAGTTTCAGCAAATCTCCAGATGAAGAGTACAGTATTCAATTGCTGAAACTCAAGTCTTAGGGTAGCACAATGTGACTAAGTCTTACTGAGGAAAAGGCTCACTGGGTTATCTGGGTGGCTTGGATTTCAGTGGATCTCTCAGTATGATTGTCAGATAGCCTTGCTCAAGGCACAAGCAATCTTGTTCAAGCAGTTAGCTCAGCATCTCCCAAGGCTGTTGGCTGGGGTGCAGTGCCTACAGCAATCCCCAATACTGTCCTTGTGTGTGGTCGTAGCTGGGCTACTCCCAGCTGGGTGTTGGGGCCAGTGGCCACAGCTGAATTTTACATGTATAAACGCCATACTGAATGGAAAGACTCACTCCCAAAGTATGCAAAAAGATTGTAACTCGAATCAATTATATATACTCAGTTATTGCTCGAATCAGTCCATTTCAATTAATCAGTCATGTTCAACGAGTAATGGGTATTTATAGTAAAAACTTGCGTGAATTACCGCCTGTGGGTTTTTCTGTAAATGATGGGTGAAATGATAAGTGAAAGTCGAACAATAACAATAATATTAATAATAATGTCCTCTCGAGAGTGGGGGTGCAAAGTGACCTGAGGAAGGAAATGTCTCTTGCGGGTAATACCGTGAATATCGTGAATATGAATTACAGAAAAATATAAGCAAGTATTTACAGCGATGCTATCTCTCTGTATATGCTTATTTGAACAACAAGATCAGTTAAGTAACACCGATATCTAGAGAGAAAGAAAATAAATTATTATCTGCAAGGGACATTTTCTTTCAGGTTACACATTTTGGGGTTCCCCCCCATTCCCAGAGAGTGATATTATTATTATTATTATTATTATTATTATCAGTTATTAAAATTGGACTTTCATCCTGCTCTTGTCTCCCACCCATCATTTTGAGAGAAAAAACCCATTAGGGTGGTAATTCAATGCACTTTTACTCAGAGTACACCCATTATAATTATTGAACATGACTGATTAATTGAAATAGATCTGATCTGAGTAATAATTGAGTATATATAATTGATCTGAGTTACTCCTTAACTGAAGGCTACAATCTTTTGCATATCTTACTTGGGAGGAAGTCCTATTCAGTTCAGTATGGCTTCTAAGTAGACATGTGTAAAATTGCGCTGTAAAGCCACAGTCCTTAACACTCTTAGCTGGGAGTAAGCCTCAGTTAACACAATGGGACTCTCTTCTAAGCATGCATGCATAGGATTGTGCTGTAAGGCTGCAATTCTGTTAATACTTTCTTGGGAGTACGCTGCATTGGACTCAGTATTTTTGAATAAGCATGCTTAGAGTTGTGCCTTTGAAGTGTGCTATCTGACAATCATACTGAGAGTAGACCCACTGAAAACTAAAGCTACTTGTGATGTAACTTCAGTGTGAGTTTTTCCTCAGTATGACTTAGTCACATTGTGCTACCCTAAGACTTGAGTTTCAGCAAATCTCCAGATGAAGAGTACAGTATTCAATTGCTGAAGGGAAACTATCAAAAACGCCTTGCTGCATGACCAAGAAGCTCTAATGAAGCATAGATGATTAAGAAGTCAATTTCTGGCAGTTGGTGGAGCATACATATGGAGATGATCACTTATATATGTTGAATATGTTCCTAGGAAAAATATTTATCAAGGAAAACTTGATGAATCACAATCCTCAAATCACTTGAGAGTGGTACTGCTTGTGGAGGAAATTACTTTCAATGATCTTCAAAGAATCTGAGGTATAGTCCTTCCTAGTCAATAAGGATATCTATGCCGCTTAATGGAGATAGCACAGTTTGATTGACCATTACTGCTGTAAAGTTGCAGGAAAAGGAAAGGAAATGTAGGAGCTGCTGCACACCTGAGGCTGTTAAAGGTTCCAGAAATAGACATGGCCATAGGAATGCTTTAAATTAAGGATTTCAGTTCTGTCTTTTTGCAGATGACTTCTTGGATGTGGTGGCTAGAGCGGTCAAAACTGGTGTTAAAAAGGTACATTTGTTCTTCAAAGGTTTTGGGTAGTGTGTTTTGTGTTAAATTTCAGTTGTTTCTGTTGACTTTTGATATCTGTGTTTTTCAAGATATAAATGAATCCTAACATTTAGAAACTAGCACTTAAGTAAACTTTCTTTTTTATTATTCCAGTTCATGATTACAGGTGGAAGTTTGCAAGATAGCAAAGATGCACTTCAGCTGGCACAAACAAATGGTATTTGCCTCTTTATGTTATATAGCTTTCAATGGAATGCTTTAATTATCCTATACAGTGGTACCTCGGGTTAAGAACTTAATTTGTTCTGGAGGTCCGTTCTTAACCTGAAACTGTTCTTAACCTGAAGCACCACTTTAGCTAATGGTGTTTCCTGCTGCTGCCGCACTGCTGCTACGCGATTTCTGTTCTCATCCTGAAGCAAAGTTCTTAACCCGAGGTACTATTCCTGGGTTAGCAGAGTCTGTAACCTGAAGCATATGTAACCCGAGGTACCACTGTATTTAACATTTAAAATGACAAAAGCCAATATGCTCCAGTTCAGTCCAAAGAATTATGAGCAGAAGGAAAGGAATGCTTTTCACACACCATTCCTTTGGGGCGGTTGGCTGTCTCGACCTAACTCACTGCTGCTAGGTCTGATGTCTTGTCAAGTGAACCCTGCATAGAGTCACACACAGAAGGGGAGATGAGTCAGGTGATCACTTGCTTTGTGGTCTTTGCAGAGCGTATGTAACCACCTGCTCACAATCTTATCTGCTATGCTGTGTGTCTCAAGTGACACTCTGCCATTCCAAGGCTGGTTTCATGACCACAGGAACTACCGGTACCTTATTCAAAAGTGAGTAAGTTAATTTAAAAGTTGAGTTAAAGAAAGCTTTGTACTGATGTACAGAATTTTACATTGTCTTTCAAATCTGTATGGTGCCTCCCTGCTCCATGAAGCCCTTGCTTCTTGAGTTCCCAGGTTTTCACTCCCAGGTCCTAAGTACATGTAACAGCATATCCTTGCATTCAGCCTCTGTTACCATTGCATCTGCTCACCATCAGGCTTTAGGATGCAAGTTCTTTGGGGGCTGGAGACTGGAACGCTTATGCGGTGATGCACCCTGCACTTTGACAAGCGTTCTAGCAATAATAACCCACACGTTCATGTCGTTTGTTTTCAGACATGTTTTATAGTACTGTTGGCTGCCACCCCACCCGCTGTGGAGAGTTTGAACAGAGCAACCCTGAGCAGTACTTAGCAGAGCTACAAGGTCTAGCTGAGAAAAATAAAGGGAAGGTCATAGCAATTGGAGAGTGTGGCTTGGGTAAGTAGCAACCAAGTGGCTTGGCAGTGATGTTTCCTTCCTGGCAATTCAAAAGCCAGTTAATTGTTTGTCAATTCTCTCTTCCAGATTTTGACAGATTAGAATTCTGCACTAAGGACACTCAACTCAAGTAAGAGAGATTTACTTAACACATAAGAGAAACTGCATCCTTCATACTTTTTAAGTGTTGTTTTTATTATCAAGGATTTTCTCCCAGTGACAGCCATTGGAAGCCAAGGAACAGTTGCTCTTCCTCCCCATCACCCCAAATGGATATAATAACCAAGGAGAAACAGTCACCACTTCCCTGTTCTTCCCTAAGTGGCCTACAGGTCACACCAAACCCCTGACTGCCTCTTCACGTGGCTGAACCATCCCATTGCTTCCACCACATCATTCATTGGAACTTGCAGTGGCTGGCCGGTGCTTTGATTCCATGGGTGGTGTTTTTGCAATCCATATATGCACAAATCATCATAAAGCACGATGGCAGGGCCCAGAACACCAGCCCTCGAGTAGAAGTTGTGCATGCCAGGTGACCAAAGGATGGGAAGTTGCAGTGCTGAGTTAAATTGAACAGGACGCGGGTGGCACTGTGGGTTAAACCACAGAGCCTAGGACTTGCCGATCAGAAGGTCGGCGGTTCAAATCCCTGCAACGGGGTGAGCTCCCGTTGCTCGGGCCCTGCTCCTGCCAACCTAGCAGTTCGAAAGCACATCAAAGTGCAAGTAGATAAATAGGTACTGCTCTAGCAGGAAGGTAAACGGTGTTTCCGTGTGCTGCTCTGGTTTTCCAGAAGCGGCTTAGTCATGCTGGCCACATGACCTGGAAGCTGTACTCCGGCTCCCTCGGCCAAGAAAGTGAGATGAGTGCCGCAACCCCCGAGTCGGTCACGACTGGACCTAATTGTCAGGGGTCCCTTTACCTTTACCTTACTGGGTGGAGGGGTCACTGGATGCTATAGCTACTGAGTGCACAAGGCACTGGTTGCTGTAATGTTAATCTTGGGAACAGTTTGACTGCAGAAAAGCACTGAAGTAAAATGGAAAGAGAATGAACTAGGTGCAAAAGCCAAGGAATTTAGCATGAAACAACACATGCCAATAAAAGTTAGTTGTTTTTATTGTGCATTGTAGGGATGGGGGAAGCTGTGATCCATCAGTTGCTGCTGGACTCTTGACACCTATCGGCCTCAGCCAGTATGGCTAATAATGGTCAAAGATGATGGTATCAGTAATGCAGAAACAGCTTGGGAGGGCCCAGGCTCTGGGTGGCTCTGGATGTCCACAAGCAGGGCAGAGGTGTGGTAGCCATCTCTTAATTGCCCCCAGAACCTGGTTACCAAGATGCATAACTGCATCTGAACATGGAGGCTTCCATTTCCTGCATTGCTGGGGGTTGGACTAGATGACCCTTGGGGTCCCTTCCAATTCTTTGATTCCATGATTTCACTGTCCTTCCTTAATCGTTCCACAAATGTTTCTGACAATCCCAAGTATTTGCTGCCACTGCGTTTTTGATGGCAGCTCATAAGACAGTGCTGACAACCGACAGTCATCTGTGTGATATTTATGCTCTTCTGCATAGGGGGAGACCCAGCATCAGTCATGGCAGCACAGTTGGTTAGCTAGGATTCTTTCACAATTCACAGGTAAACTATGACTGTGTAATGTTTGGTCTGACACTTGCACATCACACGATGCAAACACAACCTCCTGTTGTAAGGTGATACAGTCGTACCTCAGAAGTCGAACACCTTGCGAGCCAAACTTTTTGGCTCCCTAGTGCCGCAGACCCAGAAGTGACTGTTCCGGTTTGTGAACATTCTTTGGAACCTGAACGTCCGGTGCAGGTTCCACGGGTTCTGATTGGCTACAGGAGCTTCCTGCAGCCAATCAGAAGCCACACCTTGGTTTCCAAATGTTTTGGAAGTTGAACAGACTTGCGGAATGTATTCCATTTGACTTCCGAGGTATGACTGTATTTTAACAGCATTGCTTTTCTTGGCAACATCCATAGAAGGCCTGGCTTTTTACCATTCCTCGCTTAGGCTTGTATCCTGGTCTAATGGCTTTGAAACATAATTTTGCTGCTGTTATAAAGCAGGCATGGCCCTCCAAAATCCCCCCACCCCACCCAAGCACTTCTTTAAGTCTCCTTCTGGCCTTAATGAAATATCAGCCACTGAAAATGTGTGTGTTGTGGCTGTAACATTAGGAAGCCACTTTCTAGATCACCCCACTGCACGGAAAGCCACTATAAATGCGCAGTCCTAGCCGGTATAGACAGAGGTGGTGAGAGAAATGCTGCCCTCTACCCTTGGAAGAACCTGCTGGTTTTAGCACTGGTACACTAAGATCTGGAGAGAAAAGATCCCTCTTGAGGTGCTCTCCAAAGAGCAGGGAGGGGGATCTTTTGTCTCCCGATTTTAGCACTACACACCAGCATTGCTAGACACCCTCACCCTGCCACTTGAGTGGGAAATGCAGGAAATGATGGTTTGCGTGTGTCTCTGCGTCTGTCTCCAGGTGAGTTTGTGGGGAAGAGTGTGAGCCTGGGAGAATGCTCTGTGCCTTCATATATGTTGGGTGCATGTGCTGTATGTGGGGTGAATGTGCATGTCTGAATATATGTTCATGTGGTCCGTGTGTGTGTGTATACACTCGCTTATAAATTGACAATACCCACCACGGGCGTGTGTCCCTGGAATGGGAGGCTGACTGTCAGTGTGGCCTTCAAGCCACGAAAGCTTAGCCACTCCCGGTCTAGAATCATTTTCTTATCGAGAAATCACACAAAACCTGGCATGATGTTGCCAATATGAAACATTTTCAAATCCTATTGAGTTTAAAGCACATGCTTAACCTTCCCATAGAACTAAATGGGACTTAAAAGTGTTCCCTTCTGGCAGGATTATGTCTGCACCTAAATAATAATTATTATTAATAATAATAATAATAATAACCACTCCATTCTTTCTAACGCTTTAAACCATTTAGATAATCTATAGCTGAGATTTCATTAAATGTAGGGATGTTTCTATTTATTTCTTTTCAGGTATTTTGAAAAACAATTCGATTTATCTGAACAAACAAAATTACCGATGTTTCTGCACTGCAGGAATTCACATCCAGAATTTGTAGGTGGGTTTTGCAAAAGAATACTTTTTTAAAAAATGTAGAAATCTCTGGGCTTTTTAATGTAAAATATTCTCCTTTCACACAGATATAATGAGGCGAAACAGAGAGAGGTGTGTGGGAGGAGTGGTAAGTGCCCGATGTTCAGTTGTGTTTCTTTTCAGCATCAACCTCTTTGTGATACAAGTTTATTTTATAAACAGATATCTCACTTTTCATGTGTTTCTAAGTAGCTGAAAACTAAAACATGCAATGCTTTCTAGTTGCCCTCGGTAAAATTATCCCGTGAGCAAGCACTTTAAGGTAGGGGTCTAGTCTGAAATTTACAGGTAGATTCGTTTTGTGGACCAGATGACTAGAATCATAGAATCATAGAGTTGGAAGAGACCACAAGGGCCATCGAGTCCAACCCCCTGCCAAGCAGGAAACACCATCAGAGCACTCCTGACATATGGTTGTCAAGCCTCTGCTTGTAGACTAGTTCTACTTCATTAATCTGAAATCCACATCCTTTTTAAAGTGTTGTGAATGTGATTGTCACCTTTTTCCTATAGACACATTGAACAGGGAAGGGCCGCTCTCTGTTGAGTATATACTGTGTGAAACCCAAGTTTGCCTCTGCATAGTGTGCAAAATGACCTGTACAGATTTAGTTCAGCTGGGCTTATTCCTAAATAAGTGGGCATAGTCTTGCAGCCTTTGAAATGAACAGTGTGTTCACATTATCTCACGATGGAATAATGGCGGTTGTGTGACATAGCTGTGAAATAGAGTGGGGTTTCCCAAACCAGGGTCCGCAGCTGTTTTTGGACTACAACCCCCATCATACCTGACCCCTGGTCCTGCTAGCTAGGGATGATGGGAGTTGTAGTCCAAAAACAGCTGCAGTGGGGATGAATGGCGCGACCTGTACCACATACACAAGCAATGGGCCTGTCCTGGCAGCTAAGCTACAGTGCCTTTTGCATCAGAGGCAAGGTAGGGGAGCTGTCTTTCAGCCTCCTTGAATTGGGCTGCTGGTCTCGTTGCCTTCTACTTGTTAGATTAAATCAAAGATCTTTGATTTAACTGAATTCCTGACCAGGCCACAGATGGTTCTACCCCACAGCATGGACTTCGTTGATTGGCTCTTATCGGTTAAGGGCCCCATACATACACATGCTCACTTTCGGTGGCAAAAATTATCAGCGCTTGTGTGCACACGGCTAGCAAATACTATTCAGAAATATCAACTGGCTTTGGAGGAATGCAAGAAAAGGGAAAGCTTGTACTGAAGTTAGAAAAATCTCAATGCATCTTCAGATGATAAAGGTGTATCTTTACTTGTTTACAGGTACACTCTTTTGATGGCACCAAAGAGGAAGCAGCAGCTATAATAGAGTTAGATCTCTACATAGGAATAAATGGTTGGTAAGTTATTTTAGACATCTAATGGCTGAGGTGAAAGGGTTCCTTTTTATTTTGGGATGGATACTTTAAAGCACACCTGTGCAGCTTGTGGCTCATCAAGGTGACTGCACCTCAGCCACCATGTATCGTGCCCTCACAGGTAATTCAGACACTTCAATCCCAGGTAGGCAGTAAGAACAGCGCACCTATGAAGCATCTGCCAGACATGGGTGGCGGGCGGGCTATATATAATTTGCAGTCCTTCACATATTCTTAAGTGCTGCAATGGGCTGCCTACGGAACTTTGAATTGGACTATATATGCAAGTACCAACCACTCTTGTGTGACATCGCCAGAATCTCAGTCCTCATTAGCCTTGGTTTGGAATTGTGTACATAGCTAGAGCAACAGCTGCCAGCCAACAGAGGTGAGCTGGGTGCATGGGGGACATTTTAAACGAAAAGACAAATAGGCAAGAAGAATTAAGGGGAACCTATGGAAAGAATGGGGGAAGAGTCCTCCCAATGCTGCTTCTGGTTTAAGAAAAAAAATCAGGAAACGTAGGGAAGTTTCACACAACTGCTTGTAAATCTGGTTTCAGCCTTAGCCTAAGATAGCAATTCCGTGTGCACTTTCATGAGAGTAAGCCAAACTAAATTTTGCAGGAGTGACTAAACGTACTTTTTGGGGTGATTGTGCCCAGCATCTTGGATCTGGGCAGACAAGTTGTTCCTTGAATCTTGTGAGAACTTCCTTCTATTTGGACTAAAGAATTTCAACAAATCATAGTGATTTTCATATTCATATTATTTCCAGTTCCCTGAAAACAGAAGCTAATTTAGAAGCAGTGAGGTCAATTCCCAGTGAAAGATTAATGCTAGAAACAGGTAAGTTGTTGTTTTATTTAATACTATTTAACATTTTACTTCCACCAATATACCCCTTTCAAAACTGTTTCAGATCTGGGATATATTTTGTTTGTAATCTTCTGTCTCAGTGTGCCATTTTAAGATTACTACCCAAATATATCCCAGATCGGAAACAGTGTTGACTGGGTACATGCTTACTCAGCATGGCTTAGAAAAAAAGAAAAAGGTTCCTAACCTAAAGAGTAATGTCTTTTTATAGCACGGTACCTAATTCATTAGCAGTGCAGTAAGAAAGGAAAATCCCCTGTAAATTCTATATTTAACAGCTCTCTTGGTCACACTATCAGTGTTGTGTACCCTCCAGTCCACAAGGGGGAGTGAGCATGCTCGAAATGCCATATATTGTCACCAAAGTGAGTTGTAAGAAAGGATATTGTTTTTGGCAAGAATCAGACTAAGCAGAAAAGGCCTTGCCTCATTCCTTAGAAGGGCTGTGTCAAGGACAGGCTAAAGACATTTTGGTACCTGATGTGAACCAAGGAATAAGGGATGAGTGAAAGTCTACACCAGGAATGGGGAGGGGAGGGAATAAAAGATCTACATCAGGATCTGCTGTCCCTATGGATCTTGCCGCCTGAGGCAGTTGCCTCACCTTGCCTCATGAGTGGGCTGGCCCTGGTGCAGTCTTTGCCTGAGGAAATCCAGGTTGCAAAGGGGAAGAGCACACATCCTACCCTTATAGCCCACATTCTTTTCCTCCATAGCAAATGGAACAAATTGTTGATTTTTGCATCGTAATCTGATGGAAAACCTACCTCTCATTCACACCATTGGCCAAAAGCATGGTTGCCCACTTACCTCCATTAATTGGCAGAACATAAGACTCCACTCTCTCGTAGTATTGCCAAATTGCAGCTTCCAATGGTTAGGAGGGCTATGAATACCACCCATCAAGTTGACCACCTTCGTGCTAGAACTTTGGTGACTTAATTGTATGGCTTCCTTAAATCACCTCATTATCAGGCATCAAAGAATCTGCTTTGCACATTAATAACAAACTTTGGTAATACAACTGCATTATGGAGAGTTTGACAGGAGTTCAGTATATCCCTGAAAACCCTGCCTAATAGCAGTTACCCTTCCTGACTAACTTCATTGGTGCTTGGCAGCAGTTGCTTGGGGTTAAGGGCGAGCTTCCTAACTGCTAAGCCTAGGGAGCTAAAATGATCCTGGCTTGAGAGGAGCAGGTTTGTCTTCGTAGATGGACCCTTGCAAAACTCTTACATTCAAATTAGGAATTCTGACTTTGGCATTTTAAACAGTGTAAACTTGCAAGACCCTTGTAATTATGTTATGGTCCTAAGTATTGCTTACTAAAGTCATCAATTCCAACTTTCTGTTGTGGAAGTATGTGGTATATTGGTGTGGGACCCTATCTGGGAATAATTTTACTACTTACGTTTTTTGTACATGTTACGAACAGATCTGACAGCAACTTTGCTTTGGTTTATAGCCTGTGTTAAGAATAAAACATCGCCCCCGCCCCCAAAAGTATTGGGGGAGATGGACAAAAAGAAATGGCTGCGGTGGTTATGAGTTACAGAAAGCTGGTAGATTATGTAACCATCTGTATGATGTTAATTCTAAACTGTTCCATAAATCACACTAGATGCTCCCTGGTGTGGAGTGAAAAATACCCACGCTGGTTCTAAATATGTAAAAACCACATTCCCTACCAAAAAAAAGTGGGAAGAAGGACACTGTCTGAAGGACAGAAATGAACCTTGTCATATAATGTAAGTATATAATTTAATATATTTCAAGGCTCCAATTCAGCTTAATTTAGTTATGACTAAGTCTGGCTGAAACCAGTGGAATTAGTCATGAGAAACTTATGTCCCATGGCTTTCAGAGGGGCTTGATCATGACTGACCTTTAGCTGGGCTGGAGCCCAAGGGGTTTAATGCCATATAAAGAGTGGCACCTAACAGGCAGAGCGATTGTAACCACCACCAACCAGCTGGTTCGGAGGGATGTAGCAGAGATTTCCCTCTGCCATTTCGTCCGTCAACAGCACCGGCTGTTAAAAGGCTACTGTTAGCAGTAATTGATTTAAGGCCCTGGAATGAGGATGGGACAAGACTAACTACAGAGCCACTGGATTCTAAACTTGTCCAGCGGCTGGAGGAGTTTGAGCCTGCAGCTGGTGCAGCAATAATTAGGTATAATAAAATATTATAATAATAATAATAATAATAATAATAATAAAAAACACACAACTCTGCCCATCTGGCTGGGTTGCCCCAAACCATTCTGTTTAGATGTACTCTCTGAGCTTCCCACACAGGTCAAAACTCCTGATTTTCCAGTAATTAGCAAGCTAAGATTTGCTTTGCTGGGTTACAACCAAGAGCCAGTCTTGTCTGCATTCTGTTTTCTGCAATAGCTAGCAAGGTGGCCTTTGGGAAGGTTACTAGCAGGGCATGAGGGCAACAGCCCTCTCCCCCTGTTGATTGTCATCAGCTGGTACGCTTGAGGTTCTGCAGTCCAGAGAGAGGATATACATACCAAAGTGCATCCTATGTGCCAATTGAAGGAAAAGCAGCTCTGTGCATTGCTATAAGGAATACTTGTGAGATAATACCACAGGGAGCAAGAATGCAACCTCATCCTCTGTACCACTCTGAGAAGGGGGGTTCTCACTCCTCACTTGCTCAGCAAGGCTCAAAGGGGAAAGAATACAGTGGGGGATGGGAACTGCATATTATATTTCAGTGGTCTAAATCAATGCCCTTTTGCCCTCATGAATTACTATAGCAATGTGTTTGCATACAACTTATTAGATGCCACTGGTGGTTTTTAGCTACAGGTAGCAACAGTACTGAAATGAAACACTACACAAATTAGAAATAATCCCCATTGGAAAGGTCAATGCCAAACAGAGGAAAATGGCCTCAAATGCCAAAATACGCAGATTTCAGAACTTGTGTTTGTCATGAAATCTAAAACCATCAGTTTACTGATAAAGCATGGTAGGGACTATAGTTTTCTGGTAGAACATACACTTGGCACAAGTAAATGTCAGAAGTTCAATCGCTGGCACCTCCAGTTAAAAAGGATCACATAGCAGGTGAAAGAAAGGCCAATGCCCCCAAACCTTGAAGAGCTACTGCCAGTCAACAGAGCAACACTGATCTAGGTGGACGAAGTCTGACCAGATTAAAGACAGCTTTTTATGTTCTGAGATGCAAGTTACCTATCCGCAATATTGCATACAGTTCAGCATTTAGATTGCAGCATTTCCTTCATTACTTTTAGAATAAAATAAACTCAACACTGCAAACTTGTGCACATGTGCTACGGAGTAAGTCTTACTGAATTCAATAAAATTTCCTTCTATGCAGTGTTATCCATAGACCTATTGAAAGGCTTAGTCATGAACCAATGTGCCTAGTATTCCAGCACGCAACTGGTGTAGACATAGGAAGCAGATGTTGCTGCTTCTGTAACCTGCCTCACTGTGGAGATGGGAATCTGCCTTCCCCTATAAATTTCAAGATAGATGAATAAGTGCATCACACTTTCCTTTATCTGAAACTTGTATATGATGTCATTTGGGTATTTTTGTCTGACATTAAAAAAAAATGGAATCCTAAATGCTATTTATGTAAACTTTAACCACCCTTGAGCAAGTAATGTTCACAGTAAACATAACCACAGTGAAGTGATTTTGCCTAAGGTGCCTCCCTTTTGCTTTGTTTTAGTCAAATACTGGAAATACTAGCAGCAGTACGTGAAGAAGATCCACTAGAACTGGCCAACACTACATATAACAACAGCATTAAAATCTTCTTTCCAGATATGTAAAGCATTTTATGTATTATGATAAAAACTGGTAATCCTGTCCATGTAATAAAGATTTGACTCTTCTCTGCATCAAATCTGAAACCATGATTTAGAAACAGGCATGCTGTAAAGGTTTGATTAAACACCTAAGTAGAAAGCTTTCACCCTCACCCCGTGAAATATTTTCCTGGTTGTTGTTGTTTTGCCAAGCATTTATTTCAATTTATTTTACTATCCAGTTGACTCTGTTATATGGAATATAATGTCTTACTATTCATATAGAACCGAAAATGGCACAAGGCCCTCTGACTACCTATCTTCCAAGAGAAATGCAACCCTTAGCAAAAACAACAGTTTCTTCATCCCCAACATTTCTCTCTTCCCATAAACATAAAAACAGTAGCAAGAATGGTAACAGTTATGCAAACCTAGAATTTTAATTTTTGCTGTCAAGTTGGAAACGATGCTTTGATAGGATTTTAAAATAACTGACATCTGTTAACCCTTATCCAATATTTTAATTGGTTTAAAGGGTGACTCCTTGAGACACTGGCTTGTTTTCAATATATCCCAAAACCATGGGCTTAAGTTTACCAAAGTGCGGGAACTTTTAGACACAACTTGCACACTATAATTTTTTGATCAATTAAGAAGTGTTTTGTTCAACTGTTTTAAAAAATATGCGAAAACACTTTATTCCATGTACAATAATGTACATAAAGTTTAAGGTGGTCGCAAAAGAGACCAGCAGTAATTAAGAGGTATATTTACAATCGCACATCACAGTAAATTGACAACCCCATTCACAGATTCAACATTTTGAGATACTGTTCTTGTGCTTAGTTACACACTGATGAAGTGAAGCTTTTATTCCATAGTTGAACTCCACTATTAACACCCACCCACAGTGTTCAGTACATGACATTTTAAACCAAGTCAGGTTCCCTGTTCTGAGTGTTCTTCGGGCAGTGTGACAGACTGACTTGAATTCTCAGTCTCTGCTTCCTCCTCACTCTCAGAACTGTCATTATCTTCATTTAGTTCATTTTCCATATCAGCAGCTGCATCTTCTCCTTGCAAAGGATTTTCATCAGGTTCATTTTCATCGAGTGCAACAAAGCCATTGTTATTTGAGAGATTGAGATTCTCCTTCTCCTCAGTATAAACTTTTTGATGGCACATTGGACAAGTGTCTTGAATGTAGAGCCATTTCCGAAGGCAAAGTGCATGGAAGTAATGGTTACATGGAGTAATACGAGCAGATGTAGTAAACTCGTGGTAGCAGATTGCACACACGTCATCGATTTCACGTAATCGCTCTCCTTTGACTTCAGGAAGTGAGTTGATTTTCTCAACAGCTGTCCTGCGATTGATAAAGGTTTTCCAGCCATTCTTTGCCTGCAGGTAGATGTTGAAGTAGGCATGCAGACACATCATACAAGCCCGGATTTTGCTTCCTGATTCAAACACCATGGTGTAAGCACCATTCCCAAACATTATTACTCCAAATATAAACTCAATTATATTGCCCGTTGATCGAACATAGTAGACATAATCATCAAGCTTTTCCCATAGGACATTATAGTAGCCATCAATCATAAAGAGTACATACACAGTGATAGAAACAATAACCTTCAGGCAGAGTTCCACGCAGAATGCCGTAACAGCAAACAGCCATGTATTTAGTGCATAGTGGTGCCAAAGCATGTAACTGAGCAAAATTGGAAGAACAAAGAGGCAAGCTGAGACGAAGAGCACAGGAAAGTGTCTGCGAAATGAGGACACATGGGAGGCACTCAGAGACATTAGGACAGGGTCTGTCATTCCGTGGATAAAATGCAGGACTGCGGTCAGCAAAAGGCACATGTTTCGACTCAAGCGAACTAGTCTCTCTTCTGGCTTAAGCCCACTTAAACCAGTCTGCAGGGCCAAAATAAAAAATAAAACTGGTGCCACAAAACCAAGCCTTTTGTCGTCTTCATCAGTAGATCCAATAAAGGCCAAGATACCAAGCCCCAGGTAGTGAGCTATAGATGAAATTACAGCACTCATGCCTAATACAGTTAAAGTAGAATCACACCCGCTGACAATAAGGCTGCAAAATAACTCCCAAAAACTGTCCCAAGAAATCATGTAAAATTTAATGCCTGGATCAGTTTCTGCCATTTTGATGAAGAATGTTAATACAACAGCTTGAGCTGCCAGCCTCGTTAGCCAAAAGACCCGCAAAACTGATGGAAAACGAATCCTTTTCCATGTATCTTCCAGCAACAGTTGTAATCCATAAATGCGATACATGTGCCTTATAAGAAGATAGACATACCGTGAAGAGTAGTAGAACCGTTTAATTTTATAAACTAAAACGACCAGGGTGTATACTGTCAAAATGAAGCCTGAGGTAAAGACTAAAATCTGCCTGATGTGTAACGGCAATTCAACGATCAAGCCTACAAGAGGAATCAATAAATCCAGTATGATTAGCTGAGAATATATGGACTGGATATTTAACAGTGCAACGTAGCCAATTCCAAAGGCAAGCTGAAGGACAGAGAGTGCCATCCCTAAGGAAGGTCCTTTATGAGGAAGGAGCTGAACTCCAAAAGGTGTTGTATAAGAGGCACTGTGGAAGTTTATGTGCAAAAAAGCGTAATAGTTCACCATCACTGATGTTGCGGCTAGCAGAAGAGCGGAGCTGATCGTATAAAACTTGAAAAGTGATCTTTGTGACAGAATCAGAACAACACTGGATACAAAGACACCTAAAAGGAGGAGGAAAGGAGAGTTAGTTGTCTGCACACTCTAAAATGACAATTGCTCAATGACTCTAAAGCACATGCACTTTGAACAAGTGTGACTGTTTGTTAAGTTTTCAGCCCTCTCTGTAAATTCAATTCTACAGTTCAATTTTATAGAAGCTGTACTCCAATTAATCCAATCATAGTAAATAATAATTTCCACACAGCCCAGAATATCAACTCTTGAACAGGCATACCTCACTTTATTGCACTTGACAGATATTGCTCCTTACGAGGCCGCTTCCAGGGGAAGGAAGCCCCCCGCCACCTCTCTTCTGGCCTGGAGCTAGGTTTCCCCCTTTCGCCCCTGCAGCCAGGGGGGGTCTGGCTTAATAGACTACAGTATAGTGTAAACGTCACTTTTATATGTACTGGGAAACAACAAAACCTGTGTAACTCGCTTTACTGCAATATTCACTTATTGCGGTGGTCTGGAATCAACTCTCAATAATCTCTGAGGTATGCCTGTATATTCACTTGCTCCAAACTACTGAGGACAAATAAGCACAATGGAAATGAGGGCAAACTAATCACATGTTTGATAGCATCAATTAGGCCACCATTTCTACATACATTGCTGTTCCTCTGTAGCAGCTCAGACCTCCTAGCGGCAAGTAGGAGATCATCAACACAGAGCAATATACACCAAAGTCATTATTGACCAGGGCCAGAGGGGGCCTTTTTAGTGATCACACCCAGACTGTGGGATTTGGTGCTCAGAAAGGTTCTTCACCCCTTCCCTGAGGGTCTTTTGCAATAAGGACCTTCCTTTTTAAGGAGGCCTTGGTTACTAGATGGGCTTTTAGTTTTTTATGGCTTTAATACTTAGAAAAAAATCAGTAAAAACTAGATGATGATGATGATAATAATAATAATAAAAAAATAAAATTAAAAAATAATAATAATATTTTATTTATACGCCGCCCTCCCCAGCCAAGGTCGGTCTCAGGGCGGCTAACAACCAATAATAAAAACAAGTTGAATGAATACAACTTAAAAACAAGATTAAAATACAACATTAAAACATTAAAATGCAGCCTCATCACAGGAGAAAGGAAAAAAGAAAGGGGGGGGGGGAGAGAATCAAATTGACTCCAAGCCAAAGGCCAGGTGGAACAACTCTGTCTTACAGGCCCTACAGAAAGAAATCAGATCCTGCAGGGCCCTGGTCTCATGAGACAGAGTGTTCCACCAGGCTGGAGCCAGTGTTGAAAAAGCCCCGGCTCTGGTTGAGGCTAATCTAACTTCCTTAGGGCCCGGGACCACTAGGGTGTTGCTATTTATGGACCTTAAGATCCTCTGTGCGGCATTAGCGTTTAGTATTTATCTGTATCTTGATTTCATTCATTCTATTTCCCGTCTGCATATAGGTTGTGTTGTTGGTGGGCATCCTGAACTTTTTCTAAATACAGACTGCATTCACATATATCATGTAAACAACAGGAATATAACAGGGGCCACCAACCATCGTGGGCCCATGAGCAACTTGGAGGACTGGAACTGTTATGGGCATCATGCACACACTGTGACCCCAACACACTACAACCTTTTTTACTGGCTACAATTAAATGCTCTTTTTAGCCTAATTTCAGTAGGGGAACTGAACCCTTTGGGTGCAAGGAAAGGCCTCTGGAGGTGCATCTTTGTCTGAAGGTGCACATTGACAATCAGCGTTTTAAAATTACATTGTATGAAGGTAAGAAATGGTCTAGGGAAATAAAACAACCATTTATGGATGAGTAAACAGCACTGTAACTGTACTTAACATCACAGCCTGTTACTGCCTATTATACCCATCACTGATTTACATAGTGGTTACACTTACACAAACACTGAAAACACTTGTTTTTCCAATCCCATGGCAGCATGTTCTTATACAATAAGAGTGCAAACCAGGCATTTCCTGTGGTGTTTTAATACAAAACCTGGAGGTGTGTCAATGACACGGTTAACAAGCAATATAGCCAACAGTCAAGCCCCATTACCATGCAGTTTCACTCTACCATCTGGGTGCTGCTTTTTGCTAAGTTGGTTTATGTAGCCAAAAACACCTTGGGCTTAAGGTTCTCCACAAGACTTCCTGCCAGTTTTTGCCAAAATGGGGAGAGAAAGAACCATGCACACCACCTGGAGCTCCTTGGAAGAAAAGGTGGTATATAAATTTAATAAATAAAATAAAACCCATAAATATTTGCAGGTTGTGCCCTACCAATGAAGAATTTGAGGTTTTATGATGAATACTGCTTGCCTAATCTGACGACAAGAAGGCTCATGACTGGAAGAGATCAGTGATTAATTAAATGATTAGAGCAGGCATGTCCAAAGTCCGTTTCGGGGGCCTAATCCAACCCTGTGGCAGTTTATTTCCTGGGGTAAAATCCTAAAAAAACCCCAAAAACCCTCAACAACTTCAACCCTAAAAAAATGTCAACAACTTTGGCTGGCCCTTACAGCCCTTCACTTCATCAAATCTGGCCCTCTTTGAAAAAAGTTTGGACACTGCTGGATTAGAGACTGTTTGAGCATATTACACAGATCCTGGTCTGACTGCACTGGTTACCAATTCATTTTCAGGCCCAATTCAAAGTGCTGGTTTTAACCTATTAAGCCTTAAATAGCTCAGGACTGCAATATATTCAAGGACCGCCTCTTTCCACATGAACCTACCCAGATCCTGAGATCATCTTCTTGGAGGTTTCTAAGCAGAGGTTGGATGGCCATCTGTCATGGATGCTTTAGTTGAGATTCCTGCCTTGCAGGGGGTTGGACTAGATGACCCTCGGGAACCCTTCCAACTCTACAATTCTATGAAATTATCTCCAGGTCAGTGAGTAGGCTGGAGAAGAAGGGGCAGAATGCTATTTCTGCTATAGCAGCTCACTCTGTTTTTGTACTGGCCAAAGAAAATGGTTTTACTGCCTCCACAGCCCTGTTTGAACCTGCAATCCCCCATCCTTACTCATAAGCGTGGGTGTGGTGAGCAGCATTGCCTCATTTCAGTATTATTATTATTATTATTATTATTATTATTAACTATACTTGCATACTGCCCTTCATGTGAAGCTCACAGGGCAGTTCACAACATAAAAATACAAAATGAAAACACATAATAAAAATGAAAGCAAACAAAACAACACCCCCCCATTACAGGCAGAATTAAAAGGTCACAGAATATTAATCAATACAATAAATTCCACAAAGCCAGGAAAGGTAATCTTGCCACCTCAATAGTAGGGTGGGGCTGTCAACGCGCCAGATTTCCCCACCTCTCCTGCAAGACAGTAAGCTTCCCCCAGCTTGTATATTGGGAACATGCTGGGAACAACATAGTCTGCATCTCTAAGAAATGGAACCTGAGTGAACTGTAGGTTTTCAGAGAGTCAAGCTGGAGGAAGGTCAGAACTGCAACTCCCTTTATGAGTAAACAGCACACAAGTAAAAATGCTTCCAGGCTGGTAGCTTTGGGGGGCTTACTAACAGGATTGCCTTGAGCCCTGTGGGGCTATATTTGGCTGGATGGGTCACAAGTTATTCAGGCCTCACTTAAAGGACCATTACAATCAATCTGGAAAACAAGAAGCAGCGACCAGAATGATCAGAGGCTGCTGAACGCAGATTAAGAGCTTGGTCATGCCTTACAGTAATTATTATTGGAGAAGTACATGAGTTATTAGTGCACTGAACTGAAGCTAACTCATAAGGAAAATTAACACATCTGTTTATAATCTAATAGTGATTATTATTTCTTGAATCCTCTTTAGCTGAGAGGCAATATGATTATACTCCAGAAAACATTGGTGGTGGCACTGGCAGGGGGAACAGCGCTACTAGTTAAAAGAACCAAAGTATATACTTTTTCCATTATGGGTTTTTTAAAAAAAGGATTTAGAGCCACTAATTAGCCATAAGAGCAAAGAACCTGGTTTCAAAACAACAAGATAACTTCAGATAGAGTATTCATTGGGTTTCAACTATTGCCCAATGGGCCAGAAAGATTTCCCTGTCATGTGACGTGGGATGAAGCAGTGGACCTACTAAGATTCTTTGGTGCATTCAAGGCAAATGGGTAAAAAGGGCTCGAGTGTTATAGTAGTTAGTGTCTCCTCTTCTGGCTTAAAATAACTTGTTTATAACAGTGACCTTTCACTCATACTAGACGGCAAACCTATATTCCTCCCAGAGGAAAGTAGTGAGACGCTACTTCTATTCTTTCCAAATTGGATTGAGGGAATAAACTTATTTGGACGGATTGACTAGGACAACATTTATTCAACATTCCTTTAAGGATTGGCGGAAACAAGGATTTGGATCAAAATATAGTCCCTGGAAAACAAAGGAAAAGTCAAGTGAAGCTTGTCTTTTAACTGTTTTACTGAGGTGAGAGTAGCCAGAGTATGCAAATGTGTTGTAAATGTTAACATTCTTTATACCAGTGTTTGAAACTACCATTGTTCTAGGTGCATTTTGTGACAAGGAATTTCATTAGTGTGAGCAGTTTCTGAGCTCTGGGCACAGTTCTGCGCCTAAGATTTCAGATTAAAACTGCAGAGTGGAAATAAAGGAAGACCTTCTTCTGCCTCCCCACTTCCAGCCACTCTCTGAAGACTGGAGAAGAGACCCTCTTAAGAATATTAGTGGGTGGGCAGGGGAAGGACTAGACCATGTGGAAAATGAACGTAATATTTTAGCTGCAGTTCATTCATTTTCAGCTTTGTATTCTTGTTATTAAAAAAGTGTGCCTAGACATTCCGTTGTTATGCCCATAACCAAGTTTAAGGTGCCATTTAGCTCCTAGCTTTCATATCTCAGCTTCTAACACGGCTTTACACACTGTATATTTGTATTTGGACATGAAATTACTGCAAAGCGTTCTGAATAATGTGTAATTGGACATGCAATTCTGACTTCACAATAAAAGGGGGGAAAGCTGATGTTGGCTTCTGAATCAAAAGTTTCTCAATGAAAAATACAAGAACCACTATCCTAGTAATTAAAGCAAGGGGAAATAACCTTTTAGATGTATATCAACTGCATGATTATTCAATGTGTTTTCTAAGGGGAAAGGTTATAGGACTGCCAAATGATCTCTGGCTGAGTTATTAACTGCTAAATATTATATCTCTCAGGAAATTGTCTTTTCTATCTGTACAGTTCCCACATGGGCCAGCAAATAAGGAGCTCTCTTAGCTATAGCCATATATTTGAGTAAGGGAATATGCCAGTATAAATTTAAACCATTCAAGATATATCCAGAGTAGGACTGGGCAATATTATCAATATGTGGACGCAGACCACTTCACTCAGCCAGCGGTATATCGCTGGTGAAACTGCTGCTGCTTGAGTCCCTAAGCCTCCAGGGCGCTAATGGGGAAACAAACTAGCTGGGAGCTGGAGGCAGGGGGACTCAAGGTGGCAGTTTCACCAGCGATATACCACAGGTGAAGCCACCATCACACTCTGCCCCAGCAGAGAGAGAATCAAGCTGAATCAGCGAGGAGCGTGCTGCTGCCCTCACCTCAGCCATGCAGTTTTAAGGAGCCCCTGACCCGCAAAAGCCAACAACGGGATGGATGCTCCATTAAAGTGCTCCCCCTTCCCAGCTGAGAGAGCCCCAATGCCGCTCCTGCTTGCACAGGAGTAGGAGTGGGAGGAGGGCTGCTCAGGTGGGGAGCGTGAAGCTGACTGGATATGGAGAGAACTGTACATTTTAGGATATTCATACGTGAGTGCAGATTATGTAAAACCATCTGTATCTCCAACATACAACTGCTCGATATAATTACAAAAAATATTCTCGGTATCTCAACAAACCCAACAAAAATCTAACTCCTTGAAGATAATCTACCATAGCATTCTGAAAATCAAACTCTCTACCATTCTCTCTCCAAAATTATATAAATCGGTGTCATTTTGTTTGAGGAGTATCTGAAGTAATTCTGGTCTCTTGATAATCTTCTCCGTAATTGCAATAACACATACTCTAAGTAATCAGGTTTTCACTTCTGGGATTTTATCATCCTTCCAAAGTCTAGCCAAAACATTTTAGCTAGAACTGGATACAGTCATACCTCATGTTATGTTTGCTTTATGTTACGTTCTTTCAGGTTACGTCCCGCGGCAACCCGGAAGTACCGGAAAGGGTTACTTCTGGGTTTCGCCACTCGCGCATGCGCAGAAATGCTAAACCGCGCATGCGCACAAGTGCCAAATTGCGCTGCGTACCTGCACAGATACGGCGCTTCAGGTTGCGCTCTTTACATGTTGCAAACGGGCCTCCGGAACAGATCCCGTCGCAACCAGAGGTACCACTGTATTGGATATGAGACATGGTCAAAAATATGCAATAGAAATGAATTCTAATAATTCTCTGCAAATGAATAAATGCTATGACCTATCATAATACATCAATTCCTTAAAATTTCTGTTCAGTAAATCACTCACATATATTTCCACTATCCTTTGACTAGAGTTATGGCCCTGAACCAAAATTGCAACTAGATATGAGGAAAACATATTAGACAACCCAGGGCTTATCTGGACATGACCCATGAATCACAGTATCTGAACACCCTATTGATTCCTAGAAGAAGCAAACATACATCCAAATGTTAAAGTTCAAGTTTAAGACTTATTATGAAAGCTCAATGATACACAACCTTCTCCCTGACTATGATATACCCGGAAGTCAAATTGTAATGTACTAGGGACAATCGGCTTCTATCTCTTACCACAAGCAAAGCTTCCCACAATTAGCTTAGCAGACCATGGTCCCAATCCAGAGAAGTCACATTCCAAAAATCCCCCTGAAATTAACGGGATGTGCTTAATGCAGGTAAATGGTACTAGTTTCAGCAGAATTAAGCACAACTAACAGTCTCAATTGGTGCCCCAAATTAATTCATAGTTCAACACTTTCCAATAAATTATGCTGCAATGTTATGCGCACCTGCTATTAAGTCCCATGGAAAAGAATATATCTGCGTAGACATGCATAAGATTGTCTCAACTTCCTTAAAAATCTTAAGAAAAGTGTTAGTTTAATTCTTTCTGAAACACAAGGTCCCACAATATTTATAGGAGGAAGAACGGGGAACAATACAAATCTCTAAAACATAAAGGGCTTTTATAATATGGCTACTCTTTTTAAATCAAGGCTTTTAAATTGAAAAAAGAGCCCCTATACAAGCTGCATCCATTTTTTAGACTACATTGATCCAGATTTTTATTTTTTATTTATGCAATTTGTATACCACCCTTTATCTGAAAATCCCAGGGCGAGCCAGATGAACAAGATGAATGTGGCTTATGTAAAATTTGAGATAAAGAAGGAATACAAGGGCTTCCATTCTAGACTCTCCTCATCCCCTAATCCTTTCAAGAAAGGATAGTTATCAAATGACCCTAATCACTTAATCTTATCATTTTACCCTTAGCAGAGATCATCCAGTAACTGACCTGATAGATCTCATTTATATAAGATTAGCTTAAAAGCACTCAATTTTGATGCATCTTCACAATGGAATGATAATAGACATGTTTAATTACATGTTTACAACTTTACCACCCCCTCATCGTCATTATCACACAAACTATGACCATGGAAACTGAAGCACACAGCACTTAAAAGCCTCACCCTGCTATGGGGGGAGGGAATTCCACCTCTTTTATTATTAGTGTTTCTATAGTAAGTGATGAGTCACCAGTTGAGGTTACACCCCCTGAGTATTATGCTCTGCAACACCCTTTCAGCTGTTATTCCAATGTACTACAATGTACCTATTATTCTGGCTTAATGCCTATCAGGCCACGTTCCAGACACAAATATCAAGCTTGCAGAACAGAACTAGGATTTACCCAGTAACACTATCACAACTGTCATAGTTTAATCTCCAAACCAAAGTACTGTATATGGAAACTGGGGAGGAAGGCAGGGGTGAAAACCAATTCCACATTTGCATACTGCATTGATGTCTAGTTCAGAGATCAGACATCACAGACTGCTCAGAACTTGTTTATACAGATCAATAATTTATATAATTATTTTATTTATTTATTTATTTATCTGTCTATCTATCTATCGATCTTCTAAAACCCTTTCTGCTTTGTAAGATTATAAAACTCTCATGAATGGGAATAACATCTCAGAAGGTATGGAGAAATCCAAGAATGATTTGAAGGACCAAGGGTTGTAATATGCAATATAGGTTTCTATACACCCTGTATGGTACGCTCTCCCAGTGTCAGTAAAGCATACTTCTGGTCATGTGATCGAACTTCACTTTCCCCCTAGTAGTTCTCCATATGCCCTTTAAATCTTCTCTGCAGAGTTGGTGGATCCTCTGGGACAGATTTTTAACAGAGAAAGGTGAAATCCCACTGCACAAACAGAAGTCTGCTAAGGCAATGCCCATGCAACTTAGCCTCACTTAGGAAATGTGACGTCAAGTTTCATAAAAGTCCATCCGTCCCCACCACCACCACTACAGTATAAATGTGCTCTAAGCAAATCAGCGGATCTTGTCAGGCTAATAGTTATAGTAAAACTCAATTATGTAAAAGCTTTTATAGAGCTCTGTGCTAAATTAAATTGGAGCTGACAGGTAAATTCATTAGAATGTAATTTGGAATGCAACATAAAGATGAAATAATGAGGAAGATAGGAAGAGCTGTTTAGCATTTAGGAGCTATCTACGGTAAGTAGTTTTGCTAAAAAGCTATTATTAAATGAGTTGTTAACAGGCAATATCCTCTACCAGATAGTAGTTCACAAATACATGTGCCATTCTTATTATTATCAGCTGCTTTTCTTCACAAAGTTATGTTACTTGTGGCATATAAAAAACCACTTGAAAGAGGGGGAAAGAGAAGCAAACTTTGTTCTACAGTATTTACAACTGCACATTTATCTGATCATTTAGGGGAGATTTTTATCACATGCAAGCAGATAAATGACTGTTTTCAAGTCTGGTTTCCACACCATTTCATGTGACATTTCTTGCACGAATAGCACTTCTGTGCAGGAAAAAGCAAGCAAACTGTTTTATCATATACAAAAACCATGCATATCTATTTTGTTGCCTGTATGTGACTAGTTATCTGAATAATATTGTTCTAAACAGACAATTGCTATTTAGGTAAGAATCATAGAATTGTAGAGTTGGAAGGGACGACGAGGGTCATTTAGTCCTTCTGCAATGAAGGAATCTTTTGCCCAACGTGGGACTTCAACCCACGACCCTGCAATTAAGAGTCTCATGTTCTACTCACTGAGCTACCCCAGCACAAACTGGAAACTGGTTCTGCTTGAACCAAGATATGATGACCAAATTACCAGCAGGCCTATTGCAAAAAAGCAGAAGGCATTGAAACACTAGAGGTTATAGTTAACAGTTGGGCAACCTTAGCCCACGACAAGATCATAAAAGGTCATTTTACAGTCAACAAGCTGTCCCTGGCAAAGGTTTAGCAAACTAGGCTCTTATAAAACTTCCAGTGCTTGGGACTAGCTTTCACTACTCTTAATTTTAGGGGGGGAAACCTATACTGTAGTTATTTTGACTGAAATTTAAAGGATTGTAGCTTAGCTAACAATCCAAGGGAAGCAGGAAGTCTGACCCAGGGGTCAGCATTAAATAAACTAGGGGTTTCCCAAACTGTAGTCTGTGTGCCAACAGTGATCCACAAATTTCATATTGATCCTTAAGTGTATTTTTATTGTGTTTATGTGTGAATACAATCTGAATCATACCATGCAATGCAAACTGTGATATAATAAAACTTAGAAATGCAATTAAAAAACAATTAAAAATAGACAGCATCTAGCACAGTGTGTCACAACTGTGACAACAGGTAGAAAAATCATTAAGTGATCCACCAAGACCAAGTAGTCTGCGGGAGCAAAAGGTTTGGGAAGCCATGACAAAAAGAAAGTGGACACGTCTCACTGGAAATCTGGGTGTGAGGAAAGCAGAGCTAGGAAAAAGAGATGCATTCACTGTGCAAAAGACTACAGTAAACGTTTAGCCTATTTCAGCCAGATCAATAAACGTACATTTTCACCCTTTAGCATCCTTCAAAAGTGCCCTTCACACCCCTAACTCTAAATGGCTGAAGATGTGCTGCTGTTTCAACACTTACTTATGGGTCAACCGAGGATTAGCAAACATCCTTTTTACAAGGACAACAACCACAACCACCAACCCGGTGCAGTTTTGATGCTCTCAAGGGGAAAGGAGGAGGTGGTTTAGGGAGGATTCACGCCCGAGAAAAACAGGTAGGCGATCGCCCTCTTCTCTCCCCAACGCCAATGAAAAGTAAGAGAGCAGGAAAGTTGCCGCACAAGGAAGAAGGCACGGCGACCGTTCACCACAGAAGCTTCTTCCGGGGTGGCGGAAAAAAGGGTTGGAGATGTATCCCCCCCTTACATAAAAACCCTTCCTCTTCACCTCCTGAGTAGCCTATAAGAAGGGAAGGGGATGACAGAATTGCATCACAGAACTGTAGAGTGGGAAGGGCTACCGGGGGGTCATCTAGTCCAACCCCCTGCAATGCAGGAACCGTTTGCCCCACGTGGTGCTCGAACCCGCGACCCTGAGATCTCGTGATCTATACCTACTGAGGTAAAATTGGGACGGAGGTGGGGGGTGGAAGGCCCACCCACCCCTTTCTCTCCCCCCACCGATAGGCATTTAAATGGGGTGCTCGTGAGGGGTGGGGGAAGGGTCTCTCACCCATCAGCCGCAGCAGCCCCCCCAGGAGGCCGGCCCACAGGGAGTCTCCGGGGAACACCGGGGACGAGTTGAAGATGGCGTCGATGAGGAAAAGGCTGGGCACCCGCAGCGCCACCTCCGCGCCGGCCCGCAGCCACGGGCCCAGCCGCTGAGGCGGCGGTTGAAGGGGGCCCGGGGCCGCCATCCCCGAGACCCCGCCGCCTCCTGTCCGTCTCTGGGCGGGCGGCGGGGGGAAGGCAGAGAAAGGGCACGGCGATGACGGCGGCCGCCAGTTACCGCCGGGCTCTCGCCGCCCGGGACCCCGGACGCAGGGACGTTGCCGACGCCGCCGACACCAGCGCTCGCGAGGAGGCCGCCGCCATCATGTCCGCGATGCCTGCCTGCCTCTTCCTCCCTCCTCCTCATCCGCCGCCCGCCCGCCAGCCAGCCGGCGCGCGCCGCCGCCTCCTCCTGCAGCAGCAGCAGCAGCAGCGACGTAGCCGCCGCGGCCCTCTCAGAAACAACGCGACGGGCGGGGGGGAGGAGGGGAATGGGCGGGGCCACGGCGTCCTCCCCGTCACAATGCCCCGCCCCGCCAATAGGCAGCCGGTGCTGGCGGCGGCGGCGGCGGAGTTGGTGGGTGGAGTTTAGGACTAAAAAAAAAACCCTCACCCATCACCACCGCCAAGGGTAACTGTCGAATGAGCGGCGCGAGCGCACCTCGTACCCGCCAATCCGGAACCGCCAGCGCCGTCGCCGCGCACGCGCTCGGAGGTTTGTTTTTTTCCCCCCCTCAGGCGAGTCGTTGGTCGCAGTCGTCGTGGGTCTGACCTTAGTGCCTCCTCGCTGAGGAGAAGGAGCGTGTGAGGGAATCCCGGCTCCGAACGGATTCTTCCTCAGCAGCGTTTCGAATTATTTATCTGATAAAATTTATACAGTTGATTGTAAAAAACAAACAAACCACACAGACAGACCTCAAAGGACTTTGCAAAAAGATGAGGGAATAAAATCGAAGGGGAATTCACAGCCCTGCTTTGAGACATACTAAAGTTTAACATACTAAAGCAGGTTAAAGTTCATCTCAACTTTAAGCTTCCTCTGAGTAGGCTTGTCTAAAAGAGGGTGTTTTTTTTAGCAGGCGCTGAAAAGAATAAAAGGCGCCTACTTTTAAACAGCATATTTATACGCAGTGCCTGATTTACGTATAAGCTAAACAAGCTATTGCTTAGGGCCGCGCACTTGAGGGGGGCGGCAAAAAAATTAAAGGGGAAAAAAAACCGATGTACATTTCCAAAATATAAGATAAAAAAACAAAATAAAACCTACAATTATTATTTCATGTTATAGCAAGTTTCTAGAGACTAAATTATGAGTCTTTGTAAATTGTGTTTCTAAAGGAACTTTTGTTATTGCCAAATGCCAATGTGTTTGCATTATTAAGTTTGTTATGAATAAAAAGTAATTTTAAGTTACAACTTAATAATTATTTCACTATTTAATATACTTCTTAATTGTATTTTCAGTTCAACAATTACTTTGATAAAATACATATTTTGTTATGTGCAAATGGCTTTAGATACCTATTAGGTCCTAAATTACCATTTGGCATATATTCAGCACACAAAAAAGCGACAATTTGTTGTTGACAAAGGACAGCTGGACACATAAAGGGCCCCATTACCTTCAGTATCGTAGGGCCTCATCAAACCTAAATCCAGCCCTGTTTATAACCCGCCTTTTTCCCTGTCAGGGACTCAAGGCATCTTACAGATAAATATAAGAACAGCCAAAAATATAAGGTGTTTTTATCACTGGAATATTGCTGGAAAGGATACTGCACCTGGTGGTTGGCCTGATCCAAAAAGGGCTCTTGTTACTGCGATTGCTTTCATGCCGTGTAATTGCTGGCACACCCAAGTAAATAATTTTAGACATTTTAGTTTTGAAATGGAGTATACATTTTCCTCCCCTCCCCCATCAAAGAAAAACAACCATGTTGTTTCCCCTCTCAAATCCCAAATTTAGATCCCAAACAGTATGTTGTTGTTTTTCAGAACTTCACTACAAAATATATAGGAGCAAAACGGTGGGATGTGGTCCCAAAGCAAGTGAGTGTATTCAAGGGCAACATGAAGCCTGTTTAGTCAGAAGTACGTTCCAATGATTCCATGGGGCTTACTTCCAAGATAAGTAAGATTACAAGATTACAGCCTAAGGTAGCAGTCGTATACACAAAAAGCTGGCATAAACCAAATTGGCTTAAATTAAGACAGCATTAAGTTGCACCAGATCCAAACTCCGTTCAGTCACAGAGCGACTGATGTCTGAGCCAGCCTAAGCCTATTAGAGGGAGCACAAGCCTTTAAGTTTCCTGCTTGGCAGGGGGTTGGACTCGATGGCCCTTGTGGTCTCTTCCAACTCTATGATTCTAGGATAGTGTTTGAGTTATGCCACTATTTTTGCCATTTTCACTTATTCTGACTTGCTAGGTCAAGGGACTAAACTGAACAGGCTTTGGATCCATCCTAACTGCCCCTCTTTGGTCCCATCCCTGGAAAGCCCATTTTTTGCATGGTTTACAACTCGCTTAAGATATTCTGGGCTGCCCAGCTGTCTGGGTTCCTGCTGATCTGGGATGGTTAGATAAACCACCTTAGCCCCGAATCATTTGAGACAATAAAGACATGCTCTCATATGAATCTGCCTGGGCTTTGTGATTGGCCTCTGGAGCTTAATCCTCTGGCCTGCTGTCAAGAACCATCAGACTGGCAGGTACTAGGGCAAAATTTTTCAGTGGAGGCTCCACAGCTTTGAAACTTCATCCTACAGGAAGTATGTATGGCTGTTCCATTGGTTTTAAGTGAATGTCAGAAAAAGTTTTTATTCCACTTACGTTTTTTATAGCTCAATGCAAGCTTCATGTTTTAACTGTTGCTCTTTTGACGGTTTTAGATCTGGTTTGTTTTAAAATTTGCGATATTGTATTCTTAATTGTTTTGTAAAGTACCCTATGAGAGCTTGCACCTTAAAAGGCAGAATATAAAGAATTTCAATAGAAAAAAACTTTGAATACTACTGACAGAGGATGATAAGCAGACATAACTTTTGCGTTGGGGCCAGGCAAATCTCTAGAGCTGAGTTATCATGTATGTACACGTAGAACCATGAAGTCCTAGTACCAAGCCCTCTCATTCGATATCCTCCCCCAAACAACTTGGTGAATGGTTGTGTACAGTATTATATAACTTGCACAATTATATAACTTACTAGTAAATGAAGCTTGCATTCCACAAGCATAAATACACATTCCTGGTTGATACTGAAAGTGCGTATAGCCCCAAACTTAAGCTAGTAGAAGCAACAAAACTCCTACACCCAGACATTCTGTCCAGTATGCGGTTTTGGCTCACTCTCTGTTGGAATGCTCCTGGCCTGTTTTATAAGAAAACTTTTTTGCTTTTGGGATTTACTAGAAGCAAAATACCACATTTTCAATAGCATGTTTAACTCATCTACTTAAGGCATACCTAAGTACAGACAAGAATGGGGCCATACTTTTAGCCCCAGCCCCGACACTGGGTGATTTTAAAAATATAGCAACCCTGTGTTATGCACAACTGCCTGTATAGAAAGCGTGAGATTTTGTGTGTGTTTAGCAGCTGCCTATAGTTGGGACACCTGGCCAACCTGATGTTAAACTACACAAGTTATTATTTAAATTACATATTTTAGGCAAACCCTTAACTAATAACCAAGCAAGTTTTTCCAGCAATGGTATTTTTTTTATAATGCATTGGAACAATATCAATGTTACAACCTTACAAATTCTTTTTCTATATTGCAATTGTATTATTATTTCACTTGGATGAACCAAAAGAAACACAAGGGGTGACGAAGGATTGTTTTGAAACCTGTGGACCATCTTTTGATCTCAGCAAAGTCAATCTCAGTTCCCCTTGCTTCTGGGCATGAAGTCTCATAAACGAGCTATGCAATCTTAGGCAATCTATTTCATAATATGGGTGTGCAATACTGTTGCCTAGTCAGACAGAAACAGTGGTTTATTATAAAACAGAAGTGGAGCCAAAAAGAAAAAAGTATGCAAATTGCAAAATATAGATTTTTCTTAGGCAGATACTTTATTTGCTGCATGACTAAGAAAATAATTAATAATAATAATATAATAATAATAATGCACTATAATAAAGCACAACTCCCAAAAAGAGATATTTATGGGCACGCTTCATTTTTAAAACCTTGCCCCTTCATGATTGGGTAATGGGTATCAATCCACTGTTGATAGTACAAACCAATACAGTATCTTAAAAGTCAGAGAGTAATCGAGGTAGGGGTTGTAAAAGATACATCAGGGGAGAGCGTGCAAGACATCACACACCCAACTTGTAATTACTGTGGTCTCCCTGGAAACATGAATAATTACCATAGAGACAGGCAGCCAAATAATACCCACCAAGATATTTGGGAGGGGGGGGAACCTCCTGAAAAGACATGGTCAGGAAAAAAGAATGACAGATGCCTCCTTGTTTGTGACAGGTGAGATTAAGTGGAGGGAATTTAATTTTGCTGGTTTCCCAAAATGGGAGTGTGGGGCATTGCAAAATGCCATTTACCATGTCAAGGAAATTCAGTACAATAACACACTTGTTATCTATTTTTAAGGAACGAATGTGATATATGTGCCTTTATTTTAGAAGTTAGTGTGTTGCAGATTATGTACATGCTAAATTTCAGCTTACTGTGTGGCTAGGAAGAACTTGAACCATTCTCTTTCTCCCCACCACCATTTTTTGCCTTGAGAGGCTAGACATATCCGGAATACTGCAGTCAGCAGCAGTATGTGCTTCAAAACGGCTTTTTTGTCCGATTTTGCCCAAAAAGCTCAATAACGTTTGGCCAAGACTAAAGAAAAAGGAAAAAAAGGAAAAAGCCCAACAACTTTGCCAAAAAAAATCAACAACTTTTCTGTCTGGATTTTCACTGTTTGAAACATGGCACATTTTTAGTCTCTAATTTTGAATGAGTTCTAAACAGATCCAGGTTTTAGTTTTTTGGTTTGGGGGTGGGGATCTTGGATATTTGTGGCAAATTTCTGGTGTGAAACCCTAATACCTCTGCTGTAATTCTGTAAATCAGTCTGAGAATCAGTAAGGCTCAACTGTGTATACATACTGTAATTATAGGTTTCTGTGTTGCTTCTGCTGCAAAAGCAAAGCTGCTAAGTCATGCTGACACTAGGAAGAATCATTTTTGAATGACAAATCCCCATGAATTTTCAGGACAGATCTGTTATTTATTTATTCATTTACAGTATTTATAAAAAAATATTTATATACTGTACTGCTGTATCTTAATAACATAGCACAGTGTTTTGCAACAATATAAGCCAGACAATAAAATAATAAAAAAGCTAAAAGCAAGTTAAAAGCAAATGATCCCCAGAGTCACTTTCTACTCTAGAATTCTATGAGTCTATGAGATTATTGTGGAGGATGTACTCTTAAATGCTTGCATAG